TTTACATATCAGTACATATAATGAATACTTCTATGGTTCAATTGTTGACATATCAGTACATATGATGCATACTTCCACGGTTCAATTGTTGACATATCAGTACATATAATGCATACTTCCACGGTTCAATTGTTGACATATCAGTACATATAATGCATACTTCCACGGTTCAATTGTTTACATATCAGTACATATGATGCATACTTCCATTGTTCAACTGTTTACATATCAGTACATATAATGCATACTTCCATTGTTCAACTGTTTACATATCAGTACATATAATGCATACTTCCATTGTTCAACTGTTTACATATCAGTACATATAATGCATACTTCCACGGTTCAATTGTTTACATATCAGTACATATAATGCATACTTCCATTGTTCAACTGTTTACATATCAGTACATATAATGCATACTTCCACAGTTCAACTGTTTACATATCAGTACATATAATGCATACTTCCATTGTTAACTGTTTACATATCAGTACATATAATGCATACTTCCACGGTTCAATTGTTCACATATCAGTACATATGATGCATACTTCCATCGTTCAACTGTTTACATATCAGTACATATAATGAATACTTCCACGGTTTTATTGTTTACATATCAGTACATATAATGCATACTTCCACGGTTCAATTGTTGACATATCAGTACATATAATGAATACTTCTATGGTTCAATTGTTGACATATCAGTACATATGATGCATACTTCCACGGTTCAATTGTTGACATATCAGTACATATAATGCATACTTCCACGGTTCAATTGTTTACATATCAGTACATATAATGCATACTTCCACGGTTCAATTGTTTACATATCAGTACATATAATGCATACTTCCATTGTTCAACTGTTTACATATCAGTACATATAATGCATACTTCCACAGTTCAACTGTTTACATATCAGTACATATAATGCATACTTCCATTGTTAACTGTTTACATATCAGTACATATAATGCATACTTCCACGGTTCAATTGTTCACATATCAGTACATATGATGCATACTTCCATTGTTCAACTGTTTACATATCAGTACATATAATGAATACTTCCACGGTTTTATTGTTTACATATCAGTACATATAATGCATACTTCCACGGTTCAATTGTTGACATATCAGTACATATAATGAATACTTCTATGGTTCAATTGTTGACATATCAGTACATATGATGCATACTTCCACGGTTCAATTGTTGACATATCAGTACATATAATGCATACTTCCACGGTTCAATTGTTTACATATCAGTACATATATTATGCATACTTCCACGGTTCAATTTTTTACATATCAGTACATATAATGCATACTTTCAAGGTTCAGATGTTTACATATGAGTACATATAATGCATACTTCCACGGTTCAATTGTTTACATATCAGTACATATGATGCATACTTCCATTGTTCAACTGTTTACATATCAGTACATATATTGCATACTTCCACAGTTCAATTGTTTACATATCAGTACATATAATGCATACTTCCACGGTTCAACTGTTTACATATCAGTACATATAATGCATACTTCCACGGTTCAATTGTTTACATATCAGTACATATGATGCATACTTCCACGGTTCAACTGTTTACATATCAGTACATATAATGCATACTTCCACGGTTCAATTGTTTACATATCAGTACATATAATGCATACTTCCATTGTTCAACTGTTTACATATCAGTACATATAATGAATACTTCCACGGTTCAATTGTTTACATATCAGTACATATAATGCATACTTCCACGGTTCAATTGTTTACATATCAGTACATATAATGCATACTTCCATTGTTCAACTGTTTACATATCAGTACATATAATGCATACTTCCACGGTTCAATTGTTTACATATCAGTACATTTAATGCATACTTCCATTGTTCAACTGTTTACATATCAGTACATATAATGCATACTTCCACGGTTCAACTGTTTACATATCAGTACATATGATGCATACTTCCAGGGTTCAATTGTTTACATATCAGTACATATAATGCATACTTCCATTGTTCAACTGTTTACATATCAGTACATATAATGCATACTTCCACGGTTTTATTGTTTACATATCAGTACATATGATGCATACTTCCATTGTTCAACTGTTTACATATCAGTACATATAATGCATACTTCCATTGTTCAACTGTTTACATATCAGTACATATAATGCATACTTCCATTGTTCAACTGTTTACATATCAGTACATATAATGCATACTTCCACGGTTCAATTGTTTACATATCAGTACATATAATGCATACTTCCATTGTTCAACTGTTTACATATCAGTACATATAATGCATACTTCCACAGTTCAACTGTTTACATATCAGTACATATAATGCATACTTCCATTGTTAACTGTTTACATATCAGTACATATAATGCATACTTCCACGGTTCAATTGTTCACATATCAGTACATATGATGCATACTTCCATTGTTCAACTGTTTACATATCAGTACATATAATGAATACTTCCACGGTTTTATTGTTTACATATCAGTACATATAATGCATACTTCCACGGTTCAATTGTTGACATATCAGTACATATAATGAATACTTCTATGGTTCAATTGTTGACATATCAGTACATATGATGCATACTTCCACGGTTCAATTGTTGACATATCAGTACATATAATGCATACTTCCACGGTTCAATTGTTTACATATCAGTACATATAATGCATACTTCCACGGTTCAATTGTTTACATATCAGTACATATAATGCATACTTCCATTGTTCAACTGTTTACATATCAGTACATATAATGCATACTTCCACAGTTCAACTGTTTACATATCAGTACATATAATGCATACTTCCATTGTTAACTGTTTACATATCAGTACATATAATGCATACTTCCACGGTTCAATTGTTCACATATCAGTACATATGATGCATACTTCCATTGTTCAACTGTTTACATATCAGTACATATAATGAATACTTCCACGGTTTTATTGTTTACATATCAGTACATATAATGCATACTTCCACGGTTCAATTGTTGACATATCAGTACATATAATGAATACTTCTATGGTTCAATTGTTGACATATCAGTACATATGATGCATACTTCCACGGTTCAATTGTTGACATATCAGTACATATAATGCATACTTCCACGGTTCAATTGTTTACATATCAGTACATATATTATGCATACTTCCACGGTTCAATTTTTTACATATCAGTACATATAATGCATACTTTCAAGGTTCAGATGTTTACATATGAGTACATATAATGCATACTTCCACGGTTCAATTGTTTACATATCAGTACATATGATGCATACTTCCATTGTTCAACTGTTTACATATCAGTACATATATTGCATACTTCCACAGTTCAATTGTTTACATATCAGTACATATAATGCATACTTCCACGGTTCAACTGTTTACATATCAGTACATATAATGCATACTTCCACGGTTCAATTGTTTACATATCAGTACATATGATGCATACTTCCACGGTTCAACTGTTTACATATCAGTACATATAATGCATACTTCCACGGTTCAATTGTTTACATATCAGTACATATAATGCATACTTCCATTGTTCAACTGTTTACATATCAGTACATATAATGAATACTTCCACGGTTCAATTGTTTACATATCAGTACATATAATGCATACTTCCACGGTTCAATTGTTTACATATCAGTACATATAATGCATACTTCCATTGTTCAACTGTTTACATATCAGTACATATAATGCATACTTCCACGGTTCAATTGTTTACATATCAGTACATTTAATGCATACTTCCATTGTTCAACTGTTTACATATCAGTACATATAATGCATACTTCCACGGTTCAACTGTTTACATATCAGTACATATGATGCATACTTCCAGGGTTCAATTGTTTACATATCAGTACATATAATGCATACTTCCATTGTTCAACTGTTTACATATCAGTACATATAATGCATACTTCCATTGTTCAACTGTTTACATATCAGTACATATAATGCATACTTCCACGGTTCAATTGTTCACATATCAGTACATATGATGCATACTTCCATTGTTCAACTGTTTACATATCAGTACATATAATGAATACTTCCACGGTTTTATTGTTTACATATCAGTACATATAATGCATACTTCTACGGTTCGATTGTTTACATATCAGTACATATAATGCATACTTCCACGGTTCAATTGTTGACATATCAGTACATATAATGAATACTTCTATGGTTCAATTGTTGACATATCAGTACATATGATGCATACTTCCACGGTTCAATTGTTGACATATCAGTACATATAATGCATACTTCCACGGTTCAATTGTTTACATATCAGTACATATAATGCATACTTCCACAGTTCAACTGTTTACATATCAGTACATATAATGCATACTTCCACAGTTCAACTGTTTACATATCAGTACATATAATGCATACTTCCACAGTTCAACTGTTTACATATCAGTACATATAATGCATACTTCCACGGTTCAATTGTTTACATATCAGTACATATATTATGCATACTTCCACGGTTCAATTTTTTACATATCAGTACATATAATGCATACTTTCAAGGTTCAGATGTTTACATATGAGTACATATAATGCATACTTCCACGGTTCAACTGTTTACATATCAGTACATATAATGAATGCTTTCATGGTTTCATTGTTACATATGAGTACTTATAATGCATACTTCCAGGAGTCCAGTTGGCTACATATGAATTCTACTATAACTTTTGGTATTAGAATGCATGCTAGCCAGGTCTGTTATCTGGGTTCCAATCTTGTTTGAATCTGGGACTAATCTGCAGTCAAAGGTTCAAACCCTCATCTAGGCATGGTCTGCCTTGGACTGGCCTCAGATGATGTGTTTTGATCCATCTGCTTGTGTTTTCTACAGGAGATATCAACAATGTCCATGAGAGCGGTCCTAGTGACTCAGTATGGTGGGCCAGAGGTTCTCAAACTGGAGAATATCCCAATACCAACTCCCAAAGATGGAGAGGTAAAAAACGTTTTAATGTGTGTGCATTTGACTGTTAAAAAAATGGAGCCACACAGGCTCACACACTCACAGGTTACACAATAACAGAGAGCACAGGAGCCACACAGGTTTACACAATCACAGGTTACACAATTACAGGGATCACAGGAGCCACACAGGTTCGCCTACTCACAGGTTATACAATTACAGGATCACAGGAGCCACACAGGTTTGCATACTCACAGGTTACACAATTACAGGGATCACAGGAGCCACACAGGTTCGCATACTCACAGGTTACACAATTACAGGGATCACAGGAGCCACACAGGTTCGCATACTCACAGGTTACACAATTACAGGGATCACAGGAGCCACACAGGTTCGCATATACACAGGTTGACACAATCACATGGAGCACAGGAGCCACACAGGTTTGCATACTCACAGGTTACACAATTACAGGGATCACAGGAGCCACACAGGTTCGCATACTCACAGGTTAACACAATTACAGGGATCACAGGAGCCACACAGGTTCACATATTCACAGGTTGACACAATCACATGGATCAGAAGATCCACACAGGTTCGCATACTCACAGGTTGACACAATCACACGGAGCACAGGAGCCACACAGGTTCACATACACGCAGGTTGACACATTTAAAGGGAGCACACAGGTCTACTAATTACAAGTTGCACACCGTCATCAATTTAAATAGAGCACACAGGTTCATTCCTTTACAGGAAGCACACGAGTTTATTCATTTACAAGGAGCACAATGTTTATTAATTACATGGAGCACACAGGTTCCCTAATTACAGGAAGCATAGAGGTTAAATAATTTACAAGGAGAACACAGTTTCACTCACATACAGGGAGCACACAGGTTCATTCATCTACAGTGACCACACAGGTTTATTCATTTACAGGGAGCAGGCATGTTAACTAATTAAAGGGAGCACACAGGTTTAATAATTACAGGTTGCATACAGGTTCACTCATTTACAGGGAGCACACAGGTTCATTCATTTACAGAGAGCACACAGATTTACTTATTTACATAGCACACAAATGTTCACTCCTTTACAGGGAGCACACAGGTTCACTGATTTACAGGGAGCACACAGATTCACTGATTTACAGGGAGCACACAGGTTCACTGATTTACAGGGAGCACACAGGTTCACTGATTTACAGGGAGCACACAGGTTCACTGATTTACAGGGAGCATGCAGGATTACAAATTCATTATAGTGCACTCTAAAAGTCATGTCCTCAAACTTTGAAAAATATGTCAGAAACTCCTGCACAGATAATTACAACTGCCCAGGTGCTGCTATTTTCATTGTTTGATCCTTGTTTGACTAATATTTTGTGTACCTCTTAAAAATAGAATGTGTAGTAATTATATACAGTTATTGACACAAACGTTCAGACTGTTTGGAAATCAGTTCACCTGTGCAGCGATGTGATTACTACTTGGATAGCCTATCCCCTATACAATTAAATAGTGTGGTAATCTCACTCACGGATGGCTAATGCTCGAGCCGACCACCTGAGAGGGAACTGCCTATGAAAAACGTGCAGTCTGATGCTTTGACAAGTTCCTGTTGCTCATTTTACTGTAAGAATGCTGACTGCTTTGAATCAGTCTCTGTTTTCTCATATCTTGCAAAAGCAGCAAAATGACAATTTGATGTTTGTTTTAGGGCTGTACCGAATAGTGATTTTCACTATTCGGCCGAATACGAATAGCTGGACCAACTATTCGGCCGAATACGAATACGAATAGTGAATCATCATCATCATGTGCTTTGCCGGCTGGCATGGGCGATTATGACTCGCCACAATCTGCGATCACCTGCAGCACATATTAGTTCGTGTGCTGACACCTCCATGAAAAACCTTCGTTCCATGTTGTCAGCATTAGGCCAGCTTTTTGTCTCACTGAAGGTATTTCCAGCTGTACTAAACAGGAAAATACGACAAATACAGAGAGTCAAAATGAAAACCCGCAAGGCGAAACATCAAAAACAAAAATAACGCCGACGAAGAAAACAATGCCGTCCTTACAAGTCGCCCAGCCACCCGCGAGCTCACGAAACCAGACGCCGATACGACACCCATAAATGATGACGAACTCCCGTTACTTCAAAGAATCAACGAAGAGGACACTCCACTCAAAGAAATCAAGCCAACACTACTCGCAACACATGCAAGATGGAAATAAAGGGGCACTTGGTACGCTCGTAGGTGGTGCACAAAGATAACGCTTCACAGTATAAACCAAGGTGGGAAGTCTTGATGTTTTTTTTTTTCCACCAGTCCAGAAACGGTTGTGAGGTAACCACTATTCGTATTCGGCCCGACCGCAACTATTCGGCCGAATACCGAATAGTTATTTGGTCCACTATTCGGCCTCGAAGCGAATACGAAGCGAATATTCGGTACAGCACTAGTTTGTTTACATCCCTCCCTCATCCCCCACCCTTACCAAAATTAAAACATTTGGACTATCTTGCAGGGCTATGATTATTAACAGGCTGCTGGCCAAATTAACAGGCTGCTGGCCAAATTAACAGGCTGCTGGCCAAATTACCAGGCTGCTGGCCAAATTAACAGGCTGCTGGCCAAATTAAAATGCTGCTGGCCAAATAAACAGGCTGCTGGCCAAATTAACATGCTGCTGGCCAAATTGACAGGCAGCTGGCCAAATAAACATGCTACTGGCCAAATAAACAGGCTGCTGGCCAAATAAACAGGCTGCTAACCAAATTAACATGCTGCTGGCCAAATAAACAGGCTGCTGGCCAAATAAACAGGCTGCTGGCCAAATTAACAGGCTGCTGGCCAAATTAACAGGCTGCTGGCCAAATTAACAGGCTGCTGGCCAAATTAACAGGCTGCTGGCCAAATTAACAGGCTGCTGGCCAAATTAACAGGCTGCTGGCCAAATTAACAGGCTGCTGGCCAAACGCTCAGAAAGGTTACTGAATTCAAGACGGTCAGTGTTGGCCAGGACTTCAGGAATGGGCTTCAGTCCTTTCTTGTATTGACCAACTGGCACTGAGGGGCTAATGTGGCCAACATCACGTTGGCTACTTTTACTTCCCAGGAATTCAGCTGGGAGCCAAGTTTATAAACAAAACAAAAAACAACAATCTGACTTGGTGCGGATTAGAACCCATGATCCTAGGGTTAGAGGACAATCAGTAGTGAGTACATTGACTGTTTCACTTCTCAAATTGTTTATAGTATTAATCTGTCTCAGGCAGGACTAACTTATTGATGTCCTACTGTTGCAAGATATTAAACAGTCCCAATACAAATGTGTTTTTGCATCTTTGAAGAACACCATGAACTGCATATTTGAGTCATACAAATTCAAGAAAATACATCAGACGTTCACGAACCATTGCTGTTATTTAGGTGCTGGTCCGAGTCCACTACTCTGGTGTCAATCCTGTGGATGCATCAATCAGGGAAGGAATTCGCAGCATCGGCAAAGAGCCACCTTTTGTCAGCGGTAGAGATGCTGCTGGGGTTGTAGAGGTTGTAGGACCGGGGGTCACAGAATATAAAGTGAGCATTAACATCCTCCCCACCTTCATGAAACATTTCATCCCAGTCACACCTTTTATCTTCATGATATATTTCATCTGTCACACCTTTTATCTTCATGATATATTTCATCTGTCACACCTTTCATCTTCATGATATATTTCATCTGTCACACCTTTCATCTTCTTAATATATTTCATCTGCCACACCTTTTATCTTCATGAAACATTTCATCCCAGTCACACCTTTTATCTTCATGATGTATTTCATCTGTCACACCTTTCATCTTCTTAATATATTTCATCTGTCACACTTTTCATCTTCATTATATATTTAATCTATCACAACTTCCATCTTCATGATATATTTCATGTGTCACACATTTCATCTTCATGATATATTTCATCTGTCACACCTTTTATCTTCATGATATATTTCATCTGTCACACCTTTGATCTTCTTGATATATTTCATATGTCACACCTTTCATCTTCATGATATATTTCATCTGCAACAACACTTGTTCCACTGACTGTTGGAATATAATGTGTTGAGGCCCCATTAGCCACAACACTTGTATCACTGACTGTTGGAACATAATGTGTTCAGGCCCTAATCTGTAGAAACACTTGTACCACTGACTGTTGGAACATAATGTGTTCAGGCCCTAATCTGTACCACTGGCCGTGGGAATATAACGTAGTAAGGCCATAATCTCTCACAACACTTGTGCCACTGACTCTAGCAATATAACATAGTTAGGCATCAATCTGTGACAACACTTGTACCACTGACTAGGACCACAATAAGTCACAGCACTTGAACCACTGACTCTGGAAATATAACATAGTTAGGCATCAATCTGTGACAACACTTGTACCACTGACTCTGAAATCTAATGTAGAGAGGTCATAATCTGTGGCAGTACTTTTACCACTGTTGTATTGATGAAAGATGTAACAGTTCTTACAACGATAACATTTGATGAAAGATGTGACAGTTCTTACAGTGCTAACATTTGATGAAAGATGTGACAGTTCTTACAGTGCTAACATTGGATGAAAGATGTGACAGTTCTTACAATGATAACATTTGATTAAAGATGTAATAGTTATTACAGTGGTAACATTTTATGAAAGATGTAACGGTTCTTACAGTGGTAACATTTGAAAATAGATGTAACAGTTCTTAAAGTACTAACATTTGATGAAAGATATAACAGCTGTTAAGCAAAAACTTTTGATAATAGGTGTGACAGTTCTTACACTGCTACCATTTGATGAAGATGGTTTGTAGAGATTAGAACCAGAGACCAAGATAAAAGTTTCCTCTTGTCAGATGAAACCATACTCACCAAGAAGAAGTTGTCAGTTGCATTAAAGAAACATGTTAACATCTTTAGAGAATCTGTGCTGTTGTATGTATGTTAAGTGTGGATGAAATGGTGACAAGTTAAGGGAAACATGAGAGTACCAGAGATTGGGAGAAGAACAAATCAAACAGTTCTAAAGGTGATCCGTTGATAGAAAAAAAAAATCAAACAGTTCTTCAGGTAATGGGTTGAGAGAAGCACAAATCAAGCAGTTCTCCAGGTGATCCGTTGAGAGAAGAACAAATCAAACAGTTCTCCAGGTGATGGGTTGAGAGAAGAACAAATCAAGCAGTTCTCCACGTGATCCGTTGAGAGAAGCACACATCAAGCAGTTCTCCAGGTGATCCATTGAGAGAAGAACAAATCAAACAGTTCTCCAAGTGATGGGTTGAGAGAAGCACAAATCAAACAGTTCTCTAGGTGATGGGTTGAGAGAAGCACAAATCAAACAGTTCTCCAGGTGATGGGTTGATGTGACGCATGGATGTAGACAGTCAAGTGACAGCTGACAAAGTTGATGGTGACAGAGCACAGAAATACAAAGAGATAAATATCCGGATGGCTTGGCTGCATGGTTGAGCTGGACATCAGCAGCGACTTGATCTAAGACTTTAATAATGGCGTCAAATGACAAGCTGAGCCTACTAGTAGGGCAACCAATTACTTGATCTTGTTATCTACAGAAAGGTGGTTGAGTGTATGATGTTATTATCCCCAGAAAGGTGACCGAGTGTACGTGGTTGCTGTTGTGTCTGGTACATGCGCTGACTACACAGCTGTTCCTTTACGTAATGTTGCCTTGCTGAGTGATCGACTGACATTTGCTCAGGGAGCAGCCATTGGGATACCATATTACACAGCGTACAAAGCTTTGTACACATTGTGAGTTCTGTATGATTGTGGTGTGTGTAGAAGAGAAGTAAATACCTGCTGTCTGTGTGTGGCTATCATCATTCATTCTCACTGGCACCTTTCCGTCTTTCCAGACGTTAGTGTTATATTGCGCTATGAGGAGGTATGGGACTCACAGCCCATGGCGATGTCGAGTGTGACCAGCAAGAGCCGCCTGTGTCAAGAAAAGTCTTCCACAATGATAGCATGGGATTTCAGGACCATTGTTAACAACATTTGTGTTAAATCCGTTTCTTTTCTGACGCTCAGCTCTCATCCTTTCTGCAATCATTTCTTCTTTCAGTCTCATTCCCTTCCTGATATGCCCTTTCCACACAACACAGACCATAGTATTTTGTTCCCATGAGTCTACCCTAATACCTGTATCATTCATGTCCCGCTTGCACACATCTTTATAACGTAGTAGAGGTCGGCCTCTACATATTCTTCCTGTCTTTAATTCACCGCAAAGGATGTCCTTAGGGACTCTGCCATGCTCCATTCTCCAGGTGTGTGGTTATAGTACATCTATATATATATACTTGCTTACTGTGGATGCGTAGCTTTAGTTCATGTGAGTACTGTGTGAACGTGTTTTTGTGTGTGGCTAAAGTTCTTGTATATACTGTGTGTGTGGCTATAGTTCTTGTGTGTACTCTGTGTGTGGCTATAGTTCTTGTATGTACTGTGTGTGTGGCTATAGTTCTTGTATGTACTCTGTGTGTTGCTATAGTTCTTGTATATACTGTGTGTGTGGCTATAGTTCTTGTATATACTGTGTGTGTGGCTATAGTTCTTGTATATACTGGGTGTGTTGCTATAGTTCTTGTATATACTGTGTGTGTGGCTATAGTTCTTGTATATACTGTGTGTGTGGCTATAGTTCTTGTATATACTGTGTGTGTTGCTATAGTTCTTGTATATACTGTGTGTGTTGCTATAGTTCATGTATATACTGGGTGTGTGGCTATAGTTCTTGTATATACTGGGTGTGTGGCTATAGTTCTTGTATATACTGGGTGTGTGGCTATAGTTCTTGTATATACTGGGTGTGTGGCTATAGTTCTTGTATAAACTGGGTGTGTGGCTATAGTTCTTGTATATACTGGGTGTGTGGCTATAGTTCTTGTATATACTGGGTGTGTTGCTATAGTTCTTTATATACTGGGTGTGTGGCTATAGTTCTTGTATATACTGGGTGTGTTGCTATAGTTCTTGTATATACTGTGTGTGTGGCTATAGTTCTTGTATATACTGGGTGTGTTGCTATAGTTCTTGTATATACTGGGTGTGTTGCTATAGTTCTTTATATACTGGGTGTGTTGCTATAGTTCTTGTATATACTATGTGTGTGGCTATAGTTCTTGTATATACTGTGTGTGTGGCTATAGTTCTTGTATATACTGTGTGTGTGGCTATAGTTCTTGTATATACTGGGTGTGTTGCTATAGTTCTTGTATATACTGTGTGTGTGGCTATAGTTCTTGTATATACTGTGTGTGTGTCTATAGTTCTTGTATATACTGTGTGTGTGGCTATAGTTCTTGTATATACTGGGTGTGTGGCTATAGTTCTTGTATATACTGTGTGTGTGGCTATAGTTCTTGTATATACTGGGTGTGTTGCTATAGTTCTTGTATATACTGTGTGTGTGGCTATAGTTCTTGTATATACTGGGTGTGTTGCTATAGTTCTTTATATACTGGGTGTGTTGCTATAGTTCTTGTATATACTGGGTGTGTTGCTATAGTTCTTGTATATACTGTGTGTGGCTATAGTTCTTGTATATACTATGTGTGTGGCTAAAGTTCTTGTATATACTGGGTGTGTGGCTATAGTTCTTGTATATACTGGGTGTGTTGCTATAGTTCTTTATATACTGGGTGTGTTGCTATAGTTCTTGTATATACTATGTGTGTGGCTATAGTTCTTGTATATACTGTGTGTGTGGCTATAGTTCTTGTATATACTGGGTGTGTGGCTATAGTTCTTGTATATACTGGGTGTGTGGCTATAGTTCTTGTATATACTGGGTGTGTGGCTATAGTTCTTGTATATACTGGGTGTGTGGCTATAGTTCTTGTATATACTATGTGTGTGGCTATAGTTCTTGTATATACTATGTGTGTGGCTATAGTTCTTGTATATACTGTGTGTGTGGCTATAGTTCTTGTATATACTGTGTGTGTGGCTATAGTTCTTGTATATACTGGGTGTGTGGCTATAGTTCTTGTATATACTGGGTGTGTGGCTATAGTTCTTGTATATACTGTGTGTGTGGCTATAGTTCTTGTATATACTATGTGTGTGGCTATAGTTCTTGTATATACTGGGTGTGTGGCTATAGTTCTTTATATACTGGGTGTGTTGCTATAGTTCTTTATATACTGGGTGTGTTGCTATAGTTCTTGTATATACTGGGTGTGTTGCTATAGTTCTTGTATATACTGTGTGTGTGGCTATAGTTCTTGTATATACTGTGTGTGTGGCTATAGTTCTTGTATATACTTGGTGTGTGGCTATAGTTCTTGTATATACTGTGTGTGTGGCTATAGTTCTTGTATATACTGTGTGTGTGGCTATAGTTCTTGTATATACTGTGTGTGTGGCTATAGTTCTTGTATATACTGGGTGTGTGGCTATAGTTCTTGTATATACTGTGTGTGTGGCTATAGTTCTTTATATACTGGGTGTGTGGCTATAGTTCTTGTATATACTGGGTGTGTGGCTATAGTTCTTGTATATACTGGGTGTGTGGCTATAGTTCTTGTATATACTGGGTGTGTTGCTATAGTTCTTGTATATACTGGGTGTGTTGCTATAGTTCTTGTATATACTGTGTGTGTGGCTATAGTTCTTGTATATACTATGTGTGTGGCTATAGTTCTTGTATATACTGGGTGTGTGGCTATAGTTCTTGTATATACTGGGTGTGTTGCTATAGTTCTTGTATATACTGGGTGTGGCTATAGTTCTTGTATATACTGTGTGTGTTGCTATAGTTCTTGTATATACTATGTGTGTGGCTATAGTCCTTGTATATACTATGTGTGTTGCTATAGTTCTTGTATATACTGGGTGTGTTGCTATAGTTCTTGTATATACTATGTGTGTGGCTATAGTTCTTGTATATACTGTGTGTGTGGCTATAGTTCTTGTATATACTGTGTGTGTGGCTATAGTTCTTGTATATACTGTGTGTGTGGCTATAGTTCTTGTATATACTATGTGTGTGGCTATAGTTCTTGTATATACTATGTGTGTGGCTATAGCTCATGTATGTACTGTGTGCGGCTTTAGTACATATATGTACTGTGTTTATGTGGCTATAGTTCTTGTATATACTGTGTGTGTAACTATAGTTCTTATATGAACTGTTTGTGTGGCTATAGTTCTTGTATATACTGTGTGTGTAACTATAGTTCTTATATGAACTGTTTGTGTGGCTATAGTTCTTGTATATACTGTGTGTGTAACTATAGTTCTTATATGAACTGTTTGTGTGGCTATAGTTCTTGTATATACTGTGTGTGTAACTATAGTTCTTGTATGAACTGTTTGTGTGGCTATAGTTCTTGTATGTTTTGTGTGTGGGGCTATAGTTCTTTTATGTATTGTGGTGTGGCTATAGCTCATGTATGTACTGTGTGTGGCTATAGTACATATATGTACTGTGTTTATGTGGCTATAGTTCATGTATGTACTGTGTGTATGTGGCTATAGTACACATAAGTACTGTGTGTGTGATAGCAGTTAATGTATGTACTGTGTTTACATCTATAGTTCTAGATCTATAGTTCATGTATGTACTGTGTGGGGCTATAGTTCATGTATGTTTGTGGTCATAGAACATATATTTACTGTGTGTGTGAGTATTTCATCTTTACTATTATCTATTTTGTAAACTTTATTTATATCTCTTTTTTATTTATGAATGTATATCTTATATCTATTTCGTATCTGTGAACTTGTTAATGAATATTAACAAATGTTTTTCAATTGTCTACAATTTTAAAGTAAATTTGTTCTGTGTATTACCGACTGATAAAATTTTGTTCTGTCTCCATGTATTTCTTGCTGATGCAGTTGACTAATTATTTCTTTTTTTTAAATAATTCATACTGTTTGTTAACGTGTTGTTCCATCTGTGGGTGAAACATGTGATTTATATATTTGCTTTAATTTTGTTGTCGCAAAATCCCATGGCTGCTGGCATAAAACAGATGTCAAGCAAGACCTGGAGAAACTGTCCTCATTCATGGAGCCAGTGGAGGAGTAAGTCCTGAATTGTTTGTCTGCTCCTTCAGAAGTATTCTCTGTAGTTCTGGATTCTTCAATGTTTTAAGTAGTTGTTTCTGCTTTGTTCTCTTTGTCCACATCACCAGTAAACCATAGAACTCCATCAGAATAACAGCAAACCTTTCATAGATATGTTGATAGTTGACATGTTGATGGTTGACATGTTGATGGTTGACATGTTGATGGTTGACATGTTGATGGTTTACATGTGATGGTTGACATGTTGATGGTTGACATGTTGATGGTTGACATGTTGATGGTTTACATGTGATGGTTGACATGTTGAATGTAGGCAATGTTGATGGTTTACATGTGATAGTTGACATGTTGGTGGTTGGCAATGTTGATGGTTTACATGTGATGGTTGACATATTGATGGTTGGCAATGTTGGTGGTTTACATGTGATGGTTGACATGTTGGTGGTTGACATGTTGATGGTTGGCAATGCTGATGGTTGACATGTTGATGGTTGACATGCTGGAGGTTGTCAATGTTGATGGTTGACATGTTGATGGTTGACATGTTGATGGTTGATATGTGATGATGACATTTTGATGGTTGACATGTTGATGGTTGACATGTTGATGGTTGACATGTTGATGGTTGACATGTTGATGGTTGACATGTTGATGTTTGACATGTTGATGGTTGACATGTTGATGGTTGACATGTCGATGGTTGACATGTCGATGGTTGACATGTCGATGGTTGACATGTCAATGGTTGACATGTTGATGAATGCCATGTTGGTGGTTGACATGTTGATGGTTGACATGTCGATGGTTGACTTGTCGATGGTTGACATGTTTATGAATGACATGTTGGTGGTTGACATGTTGATGGTTGACATGTTGATGGTTGACATGTTGATGAATGGCATGTTGGTGGTTGACATGTTGGTGGTTGACATGTTGATGAATGGCATGTTGGTGGTTGACATGTTGATGAATGGCATGTTGGTGGTTGACATGTTGATGGTTGACATGTTGATGAATGGCATGTTGGTGGTTGACATGTTGATGGTTGACATGTTGATGGTTGACATGTTGATGAATGGCATGTTGGTGGTTGACATGTTGGTGGTTGACATGTTGATGAATGGCATGTTGGTGGTTGACATGTTGATGGTTGACATGTTGATGAATGGCATGTTGGTGGTTGACATGTCGATGGTTGACATGTTGATGAATGGCATGTTGGTGGTTGACATGTTGGTGGTTGACATGTTGGTGGTTGACATGTTGATGGTTGACATGTTGATGGTTGACATGTTGATGGTTGACATGTTGATGGTTGACATGTTGATGGTTGACATGTTGATGGTTGACATGTCGATGGTTGACATGTTGAATGTTAATGGTTGACATGTTGATGGTTGACAAGTTAATAGTTGACATGTTGATGGTTGACATGTTGATGGTTGACATGTTGATGGTTGACATGTTGATGGTTGGCATGTTGATGGTTGACAAGTTGATTGTTGATGGTTGACATGTTGGTGGTTGACACGTTGATTGTTTCTGGTTGACATGTTGATGGTTGACATGTTGATGGTTGACATGTTGATGGTTGACATGTTGATGGTTGGCATGTTGATGGTTGACAAGTTGATTGTTGATGGTTGACATGTTGGTTGTTGACAAGGTGATGGTTGATGGTTGACATGTTGATGGTTGGCATGTTGATGGTTGACAAGATGATGGTTGATAGTTGACATGTTGATGGTTGACATGTTGATGGTTGACATGTTGATGGTTGGCATGTTGATGGTTGGCATGTTGATGGTTGACAAGATGATGGTTGATGGTTGACATGTTGATGGTTGATGATTGGCATTTTGATGGTTGACATGTTGATGGTTGACAAGTTGATGGTTGACAAGTTGATGGTTGATGGTTGACATGTTGGATGCAACACTGATGATGGACAAGGGATATATTCAAAAGACTATCTGTGAGTAACTGCTTGTTGAAGACCCAGGCCCTTGTGCAGCAACATTTTCATGGTGGTCTGCATTTGACAGAAGTGTGATTGCAGCAAAGGAACAATGAAAAAACAAACTTTATTTTCATAGGGTCACAAATTAGGCTTTCAGGCCCATGTTACATTCGGCCCTTCCAAACACCCATCTTTCACAGAGTACAGTGGAACCTCACTTAACGAGCATAATTCGTTCCAGAATCATACTCGTTAAGCGAAACACTCTTTATGCGAAGCAATTTTTCTCATATAAATTAATGTAAAATATGATAATGCGTTCCATGTGGAAACAAAAATACTCACAAAATGCTATGTATAAGTTATACTATAACATTTATTCAAAGAAAATTATATACCTATTTAAGGAGAGTGAATCATCTTTATATTTTCTTCAAACGCAAAACAAACCCACATGGAATGCGAATTCGATTTGTAGAAAAAGAAAAGTCAAAATAATTGCGATACATAGCTAATAATTTTTTTTTACTAGAAAGATGTCCAGAGACATTTGTTTTTTGTCGATGCTTCAAAATTTGGCGAAACTGCAACACACCATTATCATTAAATTTGCAGCGCGCATAGCCACTTCCTTATTATGGTGATCCTTCTCAATGTGAGAAGCAAGTTTCCCATGCTTTCTGCATTTTTCTTATTTCGCCAGAAGATCGTTACTTTTCTGTTACCTTCTCCTCCTCCTCCTCTGACAAACTTTCCTCCAAAACTTCTTGCTGTGAAACACAATGCAACTCCATAAGCTCTTCGATGGTCAGCTCTTGGTTGTGCTCTTCCACAAGCTCTTCGATATCACTGTTATCCACCTACAATCCCATGATAGTGGTCAAAGACACAATCTCGTTGACTATAGGTTCCACAGGCACTGTCTCGAACCCCTCAAAATCACAAATCGACAACACTCTCCGGCCAAAGCTTCCTCCAAGAAAAAGTTAGGGTTCTCTTGAGGCAGGCAATGATGTGGAAGTGATTTTTTTCCAAAACTCTTTGAGAGTGAGGTTGGTCCCTTCAGTCACCTGAAAACAATGCTCGAAGAGTGCTTTAGTGTATAGCTTCTTAAAGTTAGAAATAACTTGCTGGTCCATTGGCTGGAGTAACGGAGTGGTGTTGGGAGGCATAAACTGGATCTTGATTAACTTAAATTCATCAGGGAGGTCATCTTGTAGTCCTGGAGTATTCATGTACATATATCATAACACAAGTTTGAGGAAATGTGTGATCACAAGCGACAATGCTACTGGAAAGTGTGCTAAACACTAATGTAACATTCGCACAATCCGGGACTTCCCCTCTCCTCGCCACTCGTTATGCGAAACGTTGCTCGTTAAGCGAGTCATTCTTTTACAGTTTGTTTCGCTCATTATGCGAATTACTCGATATGAGAGGTGCTCGTTAAGCGAGGTTCTACTATAATTGTATTTTATCAGTAAATCATTTTATATTCAAATGATAATTTGCATATTATGAATTAAGAAAAAACAAAAGCGGGGGTGGTATAATGCATAAACACACTAGCGCATGCACACACACATACACACACCCACAGACACACGCATGCACACACACATACACGCAGGCACACACATATACGGACTGAGGTTTGTACTGAAGTGTAGTTGCAGTAAAGGAGCATGAATGAGACTTGGACTGAAGTGTGTTTGCAACAAAGGACCATAAATGAGGTTTGGGCTGAAGTGTGGTTGCAACAAAGACCATAAATGAGGTTTGGACTGAGGTGTGGTTGCAACAAAGACCATAAATGAGGTTTGGACTGAGGTGTGGTTGCAACAAAGACCACAAATGTGGTTTGGACTGAGGTGTGGTTGCAACAAAGACCATAAATGAGGTTTGGACTGAGGTGTGGTTGCAACAAAGACCATAAATGAGGTTTGGACTGAGGTGTGGTTGCAAAAAGACCATAAATGAGGTTTGGACTGAGGTGTGGCATCAAACGAGCATAAATAAGTTTGGATTGAAGTGTGATTGCAACAAAAATGCATGAATGGAGTTTGGATTCAAGTGTGTTGCCAAATAGATGCATGAATTGAGTTTGGACTGAAGTATGCTTGCAGTACAGAAGTATGAATGGGGTTGGGATTGAACTAAGGTTCCAGCAAAGAAACATGAATGAGGTTTGACTGAAGTTTAGTTGGAGCACGGAAGTATGAATGAGGTTTGGATTGAAGTGTGGTTGCAAGAAAGGAGCGTAAATGAGGTTTGGATTAAAGTGTGGTTGCCACAGAAGAGCGTAAATGAGGTTAGATAAACAGTGTGGTTGCAGTAAGGAGCATAAATTAGTTTGGGTTGAAGTGTTTGTTTCATCAAAGATCATGAGTGGAGTATGGACTGAAGTGTGGTTGCAACAGAGAATGATGTTTGGATTGAAGTAAGGTTGCAGTACAGAAGTATGAATGAGCTTTGGGTTGAACTATGGTTCCAGCGCAGAAACATGAATGAGGTTTGCATTGAAGTGTTTTTCAAGTAAAGATGTATGAATGAGGTTTGAATTAAAGTGTGGTTGCAGTATAGAAGTATGAATAGGGTTTTAATTGAAGTGTGGTAGCAGGAACAAAACAAACAAAAAACATGAAAGAAGGGATCAGTGTGATGTGTTTGCAGTCTTTTTCCTATTGCTTACTGTTAGTTACTGACTTTAATGTTACTGTTCATATCTGCCTCTCCTGATATTTTCTAAGAAAGATGAATCATCAGTGGGTTTTCCCAGAGTGATGTGTGTCATTCTCTTGCACCGCTGCATTTCAGGTGGGGATAGCAGGTGTGCAGATCGCTGTAGCAAATGGGCAGAGAGTGTTGGGAACTGCTGGTAGTGAGGAGGGGCTAGAGCTGGTCAAGAAGTTGGGAGCTGACCAGGTGTTTAACCACAGGGAGGAAGGCTACACAGACAAGTTACTGGTCAGTGTGCTTTTAGCTCTCGCATATTTTCATTGCCATCTTCACTATTTCAGTTATAACAAACATTATTGCTACTATCATCACTATCTTAGCTATCACAAACATTGCCATTATCATCACTATTTCAGTTGTCACAAACATTGCCATTATCATCACTATCTCAGTTATCACAAACATTGTCATTATCATCACTATCTCAGTTATTATAAACATTATTGCCACTATCATCACTATCTCAGTTATCACAAACATTGCCATTATCATTGCTCTCTCAATTATCACAAACATTGCCATTATCATCACTATCTCAGTTATCACAAACATTGCAAATATCATCACTATCTCACTTATCACAAACATTGCCATTATCATCACTATTCCAGTTATCATAAACTTTATTGCCATTATCACCACCATCTAAGTTATAAAGTTTATTGCCATTATCACCACTATCTCAGTAATCAGAAACATTGCCATTATCACTCCTATCTCAGTTATCACAAACATTGCCATTATCACTCCTATCTCAGTTATCACAAACATTGCCATTTTAATCACTATTCCAGTTATCACAAACATTATTGCCATTATTATCACTATCTCAGTTATCACAAACATTGATATTATCATCACTATCTCATATATAAAAAAACATTGCAATTATAATCACTATCTCAGTTATCACAAACATTATTGCCAATATCACCACTATTCTGGTTATCACAAACATTATTATCATTATCATCCCTATCCCAAATTTCACAAACATTATTGCCATTATCATCACTATCTCAACTACCACAAACATTATTGCCATTATCACAACTATTCCAGTTATCACAAACATTCTTGCCATTATCACCACTATTCGAGTTATCACAAAATGTATTTCCATTATCATCACTATTTCAGTTATCACAAACATTGCCATTATCAACACTATTCCAGTAATCACAAACATTATTGCTGTTATCATTACTATTCCAGTAATCACAAACATTATTGCTGTTATCATTACTATTCCAGTAATCACAAATATTATTGCTGTTATCATTACTATTCCAGTATCACAAACATTATTGCCATTATCACCACTATTCTGGTTATCACAAACATTATTGCCATTATCATATTCCAGGTAACACAAACATTATTGCCATTATCATCACTATTCCAGTTATCACAAACATTGCAATTATCATCACTTTCTCACTTATCACAAACATTGCCATTTTCATCATTATTTCAGTTATCACAAACATTGCCATTATCATCACTATCTCATTTCTCATAAACTTTATTGCCATTATCACCAACATCAAATTTATAAAGATTATTGCCATTATCACTACTATCTCAGTTATCACAAACATTGCCATTAGCACTATTATTTCAGTTATCACAAACATTGCAATTATAATCACTGTCTAACTTATCATAAACATTATTGCCATTATCATCACTATTCCATTTATCACAAACATTATTGCCATTATCATCACTAATCTCATTATCCAAAAAATTATTGTTATTATCATCATTATCTCAGATATCACAAACATTATTGAAATTATCATCACAATTCCAGTTATCACAAACATTCTTGCCATTATCATCACTGTCCCAGAGATCACAAACATTATTGCCATTATCCTAACTATTCCAGTTATCACAAAAATTATTGCCATTATCATAACTATTTCAGTTGTCACAAACATTGCCATTATCATCACTATTTCAGTTATCACAAACATTATTGCCAATATCATCCCTTTTCTAGTTGTCACAAAAATTATTGCCATTATCATCACAATCACAGTTATCACAAACATTGCCATTATCATCACTATTCCAGTAATCACAAACATTATTGCTATTATCATTACTAAATCAGGTAACAAACATTATGATCACTATTCCAGGTATCAAAAACATTGCCATTATCATCACTCTTCCAATTATCACAAACATTATCACCATTATCATCACTATTCCAGTTATCACAAACATTATTGCCATTATCATCACTATCCCAACTATCACAAAAAACTTGTCATTATCACCATGAGCCAGATAATCAACATCATTATCACCTGCTGTGTGCCAATTTGGCTGTAAATATACTCCTCTTGGCATAAAGCCAAACACCTCTAGGCAGGAAACTATACACCTCTAGGTATGAAACCATACATCTCTAGGCATGAAACCAAACACCTCTAGGCATGAAACCATACACCTCTAGGCATGAAACCATACACCTCTAGGTATGAAAACATACACCTCTAGGTATGAAACCATTCACCTCTAGGTATGAAACCATACACCTCTAGGTATGAAACCATACACCTCTAGGTATGAAACCATACACATCTAGGCATGAAACTATACACCTCTAGGCATGAAACCATACACCTCTAGGCATGAAACCATACACCTCTAGGCATGAAACCATACACCTCTAGGCATGAAACTATACACCTCTAGGCATGAAACTATACATCTCTAGGCATGAAACCATACACCTTTAGGCATGAAACCATACACCTCTAGGCATGAAACTATACACCTCTAGGCATGAAACTATACACCTCTAGGCATGAAACTATACACCTCTAGTCATGAAACTATACACCTCTAGGCATGAAACAATACACCTCTAGGCATGAAACCATACACCTCCAGGCATGAAACCATACACTCTAGGCATGAAGCCTTACACCTCTAGGCATGAAACCATACTCCTCTAGGTATGAAACCAAACACCTCTATGCATGAAACCATACACTCTAGGCATGAAGCCTTACACCTCTAGGCATGAAACCATACACCTCTAGGTATAAAACCAAACACCTTTAGGCATGAAACCATACACCTCTAGACATGAAACTATACACCTCTAGCTATGAAACCAAACACCTCTAGCTATGAAACCAAACACCTCTAGCTATGAAACAATACACCTCTAGCTATGAAACAATACACCTCTAGGCATGAAACCATACACCTCTAGGTTTGAAACCATACATCTCTAGGCATGAAACCATACACCTCTAGGCATAAAACCATACACATCTAGGCATGAAACTATACACCTCTAGACATGAAACCATACACTCTAGGCATGAAGCCTTACACCTCTAGGCATGAAACCATACACCTCTAGGTATAAAACCAAACACCTCTAGGCATGAAACTATACACCTCTAGGTATGAAACCATACACCTCTAGGTATGAAACCATACACCTCTAGGTATAAAACCAAACACCTCTAGGCATAAAACCATACACCTCTTGGCATGAAACTATACACCTCTAGACATGAAACCATACACCTCTAGGCATGAAACCATACATTTCTAGGTATGAAACCATACACCTCTAGGCATGAAACCATACACCTCTAGGCATAAAACCATACACCTCTAGGCATGAAACTATACACCTCTAGACATGAAGCCATACACTCTTATCATGAAACCATACACTCTAGGCATGAAGCCTTACATCTCTAGGCATGAAACTAAACACCTCTAGGCATGAAACTATACACCTGTAGGCATGAAACTAAACACCTCTAGGCATGAAACTAAACACGTGTAGGCATTAAATCATACACACTAGGCATGAAACTAAACACCTCTATTCATGAAACCATACACTCTAGGCATGAAGCCTTACACCTCTAGGTATCAAACCAAACACCTCTAGCTGTGAAACCAAACACCTCTATGCATGAAACCATACACCTCTAGGCATAAAACCATACACCTCTAGCTATGAAACCAAACACCTCTAGGCATGGAACCATACACCTCTAGGTATAAAACCAATTACCTCTAGCTATAAAACCAAACACCTCTATGCTTGAAACCATACACCTCTAGGCATAAAACCATACACCTCTAGACATAAAACCATACACTCTAGGCATGAAGCCTTACACCTCTAGGTATGAAACCATACACCTCTAGGCATGAAGCCTTACACCTCTAGGCATGAAACCATACACCTCTAGGTATGAAACCATACACTCTAGGCATGAAGCCTTACATCTCTAGGCATGAAACCATACACCTCTAGGTATGAAACCATACACCTCTAGGCATGAAACCATACATTTCTAGGTATGAAACCATACACCTCTAGGCATGAAACCATACACCTCTAGGCATAAAACCATACACCTCTAGGCATGAAACTATACACCTCTAGACATGAAGCCATACACTCTTATCATGAAACCATACACTCTAGGCATGAAGCCTTACATCTCTAGGCATGAAACTAAACTCGTCTAGGCATGAAACTATACACCTGTAGGCATGAAACTAAACACCTCTAGGCATGAAACTAAACACCTCTAGGTATGAAACCATACACCTCTAGGAATGAAACCACACACCTCTAGGCATGAATTCATACACCTCTAGGTATGAAACCATACACCTCTAGGCATAAAACCATACACCTCTAGGCATGAAACCATACACCTCTAGGCATGAAACTATACACCTCTAGACATGAAACCATACACTCTTATCGTGAAACCATACACTCTAGGCATGAAGCCTTACACCTCTAGGCATGAAGCCTTACACCTCTAGGTATGAAACCATACACCTCTAGGTATGAAACCATACACCTCTAGGTATGAAACCATACACCTCTGTGCATGAAACCATACACCTCTGTGCATGAAACCATACACCTCTAGGTTTGAAACCATACACCTCTAGGCATGAAACCATACACCTCTAGGCATGAAACTAAACACCTCTAGGCATGAAACTAAACACCTCTAGGCATGAAACTATACACCTGTAGGCATGAAACTAAACACCTCTAGGCATGAAACTAAACACGTGTAGGCATTAAATCATACACACTAGGCATGAAACTAAACACCTCTATTCATGAAACCATACACTCTAGGCATGAAACTAAACACCTCTAGGCATGAAACTAAACACCTCTAGGCATCAAACCGTACACCTCTAGGCATGAAACCATACACTTCTAAGCATCAAACCATACCCATCTAGGCATGAAGTCATACACCTCTAGGCATGAAACCATACACCTCTAGGCATTAAACCATACCCATTTAGGCATAAGACCATACACCTCTAGGCATGAAACCATACACCTCAAGGCATTAAACCATACCCATTTAGGCATGAAACCATACACCTCTAGGCATTAAACCATACCCATTTAGGCATGAAACCATACACCTCTAGGCATTAAACCATACACCTCTAGGCATGAAACCATACACCTCTAGGCATGAAACCATACACCTCTAGGCATAAGACCATGCACCTCTAGATTTAAAACCATACACCTCTAGGCACAAGACCATACACCTCTAGGCATAAGACCATACACCTCTAGATTTAAAATCATACACCTCTAGGCATAAGACCATACACCTCTAGATTTAAAATCATACACCTCTAGGCATAAGACCATACACCTGTAGTTATGAAATCTGTTCTTTACTTTTTCCTTTACTGATTTTATCAACTCTACAACAAACCCAGAATAATGGAATATAAATCAAATCATTTCCATTGAGAACAGTTTGATGTAGTTTTTATGTTCTTGTTTTTGATGGCATAAATAGACTTGTGATATAGACAGGGGACATTATCTCCTTCAGGAAGCTACCGGTGGCAGAGGGGTGGATGTGATCCTAGAAATGCTGGCAAATGTCAACTTGGACACAGACCTGGATCTGCTTGCCTTCAGGGGTCGGGTTGTGGTGAGTGTCTTGTTGGCTGTGCTCTTTCTTTTGTTGTTTGAACTCATCAAGCAAAGGAAGCCAGCAGTAGATAAAAGCTTGCTCCAAGGACAGTTTAGAAGAGAAACTGGCCCTAACCTTATGGACTTTAACAACAAAATGAAAAAGAAAATGTGAAGCAACAGAAATGGAATGTCTAAACTGAATCCTGAGTGCAACAGGAAGAGACAGGATCAGAAATTACATCAAGATATTAGTGGGGGTGGGGGCAGGTGGGGGGGGGGGGGGGGTGAAATCAGTGATTAACTAAATCAAGAAACAAGAGGTTTGGACCTGTGTCAAGTCTACTACTAGATAGTTCACCATAGAGAGATCTGTCACTTAGATACAACTGAGTAGATCTAGGGGATATATGGGATTTATGAGAATATGAATACCAGCATCTATACATCAAATACTAGCGCTGACTGCAGATTTCTCTACTAAACCTGATTCTGAAATGACTAGAGAAATCAAAAAGAAGATGAACTCTGCTGTGTGTAATCTAGGAGGAATAGACAACAATGTAAGTAGCTAGGGACAAAGGTAGCATCACATGTAAGAGGAGCGACAGAAATAGACAACAGACAACAATTGAAGTAAATTTCATTTTGTCACGTCATTAGGGGCTGTAGATTGCTGTTCACAATTCCATAATTTCCGCATATTTAAATAAGTGAGTTTGCCATTGCTTTCTTTTTATCATCGATCATGCTGGTCAGTTGTGGTAGTGGCCTTGTTTATAGAGGGAGTCTTTGAGGCTGCAGGGTCTTGAGTCCAAGGCCAACAACTCTCTGCTGATTCAATCCACCATTTTATTCCTTGTATAGTTTGAAGTCACCTTACTCTTTGAATGGCTTTTCTGTCTGCCATAAGGGTGTCCTAAAGGCTGGTTGGGGGTGGGGGGGGGGGAGAGGGAGAGGGGTTGGGAGAGGGGTTGGGAGAGGGGTTGGGGGGTCCCTAATTTTAGTGGTTGAAAGGAGGCACATGACCCCACTGACAGGAGGCACATGACCCCACTGACAGGAGGCACATGACCCCACTGACAGGAGGCACATGACCCCACTGACAGGAGGCACATGACCCCACTGACAGGAGGCACATGACCCCACTGACAGGAGGCACATGACCCCACTGACAGGAGGCACATGACCCCACTGACAGGAGGCACATGACCCCACTGACAGGAGGCACATGACCCCACTGACAGGAGGCACATGACCCCACTGACAGGAGGCACATGACCCCACTGACAGGGGATACTGGTGTATAAAATATATTTCTTATTTGCAAAAATGTAAACTAATGACTGATGTTTTTGTGATCATATTTCATGCCTAGAATATATTTCTGACTATTCGTGATTATTTATTATTTGTAGAATATATTTATGACTATTTTTGATCATATTTCATTTGTAGAATATATTTGTAACTAATTGCAAAATTGTTCTGCAGATTATTGGATCTAAGGGAAATGTAGAAATAAATCCACGGAAGATAATGACCAAGGAGTCAAAGGTTACAGGAATTGTGCTGCCTAGTCTGGCACACGTAAGTTTTTGGTCTGCAACTGTTTGTTTGTTTGTACAAGGTGGTTAAATGGGAGAGGATTGACTTGATCACACCAGTTCTAATTCCACAGGCTACTGTCCACCTGACCAGAGCATCACACACAACAAAAACACTGTAGTTCTATTGATACCCACGAATATTGTAGACAAATGTTACTAAGTAGGAGGCAACAAGGCCAGTGAGATGATACACGGTAACAAGGCCAGTGACGTGATACACTGTAACAAGGCCAGTGACGTGATACACGGTAACAAGGCCAGTGACTTGATACACAGTAACAAGGCCAGTGACATGATACACTGTAACAAGGCCAGTGACATGATACACTGTAACAAGGCCAGTGACGTGATACACTGTAACAAGGCCAGTGACTTGATACACTGTAACAAGGCCAGTGATGTGATACACTGTAACAAGGCCAGTGATGTGATACACTGTAACAAGGCCAGTGACGTGATACACTGTAACAAGGCCAGTGATGTGATACACGGTAACAAGGCCAGTGACGTGATACACTGTAACAAGGCCAGTGAGATGATACAAGGTAACAAGGCCTGTGACTTGTCCCAAGATAACAAGACCAGTGACGTGACCATGTCACTGCAGAGACCTTGCTCTCCAAAAGTTTGAATTTGTGAGAGTCTAAATACTTGTTACATGCACATTCATGTATCCGTGTTTGTGTGGGTTTGTGGGTGTGTGTATGTGTGAAAAATCTATGCATGTTGTAATGTTGTATGAAATTAACATTTACAAGCATACGTGCATGTGTTATTTTGATTTTATTAGCATCCAGTTATGCAGTATCATACATAAAATAGACAGTTGCTGAGACTACAATTCAGAGTGGTTCATTTAACAATATCAGATGATAACTGTCCTGAATATCAACAGGATGCTATCACATACTGACGTAAAAAATATCAACTCCATAGGATAGCACTAACTGGATGTAAGAACTGCTACCATTGGGCATATGACCCGCTACCATTGGGCATATCACCCGCTACAATTGGGCATATCACCCACTACCATTGGGCATATCACCCACTACCATTGGGCATATCACCCGCTACCATTGGGCATATGACCCGCTACCATTGGGCCTATCAGCCGCTACCATTGGGCATATCACCCGCTACCATTGGGCCTCTGAACTCCCACCATTGTGTCTATGACCCCTCCCCCCCCAACATTTAGGCCTATAAACTCCCACCATTAGGCATATGAACCCATACCAATAGGCCTATAAACTCCCACCCTTTGGCTTATAAACTCCCACCATTAGGCCTATAAACTCCCACCATTGTGTCTATGACCCCCCAACATTTAGGCCTATAAACTCCCACCATTAGGCATATGAACCCCCACCATTTGGCCTAAAAACTCCCACCATTAGGCCTATAAACTCACACTATTAGGCCTATAAACTCCTACCATTGTTTCAATGACCCATACACCATGAGGATTATATACTCCTACCACTAAGCCTATAAACCCCCACCATTAGGCCTATGAAGTCCCACCATTGTGTCTATGACCCCCACACCATGAGGACTATATACTCCTACCATTAGGCCTATGAACCCCCACCATTAGGCCTATTTACTCCAACCATTAGGCCTATAAACTCCCAAAATTGTATCTATGACTCCCCCCCCCCCCCTCTACCCCCACCATTAGGCTTATAAACTCCCACCATTATGTCTATGACCCCCCACCATTAGGCCTATGAACCCCTACCATTAGGCCTATTTACTCCAACCATTAGGCCTATAAACTCCCAAAATTGTATCTATGACTCCCCCCCCCCCATCCCCACCATTTTCAAACAACCTTCGGTGGGGGGGGGGGGGGGAGGGGGGGAGGGGGGGGCAATCAAGGACTATCTCGACGTCGGCGCAGACATTGACTGCGACATTAACTTCATTAACCGTGTTAGACACATGCGATTTCTATTGTTGTTCCGTTTCATTAAAATATCTGGAGTATCTGTCTGCGAGAAAACAATTGCCTGCGGTTTTGAATTGTGTTTTAATGAGGACACAGTAGTGGGGACACACATCTCTAATAGTTAAGTTCTCTTTTCGTTTATCCGATTAAGTGGCTGCTTGGTCGATTGGTTAGAACACTGGGTTCCTGTGCGGGAGACCTGGGTTCGAATCAACAGTAGTTAATTTTTTGTTTACCCCGGACTAAAATAATATCCTCATCTGCTCTGTCGTGGTGACAGCACTAGCCATGTTGCCTTAATATTTAAAAAAAAAAAAGACAAGTAAATGGGTAAACCATTTGATAATTAAATTTGACCATTTCGCATACTATGTCGGTGAATTTGGGGGGGGGGGGGGGGGGGGGACTATTTACTGAGAGAGCTTTAAGTCACAGTAACTGCTTTACCCACTTAAAGTAGCAGCAGCAGTAATAGTTGTGGTTGGGCTGTTACACCATAGTGCTCTCATGTGAAGACCGCCGGTAAGGTTATGGCGTTCTTCTGTCGGCCAGTGAAATTATACATCCTAACCTGACCAGTCTGTGGCGACAGCACTAGCCATGCGGAACTAAATCTTCTGGCTCACGACTCTCTGTCTACTCCGATGGTAACACAGATAGCAGTGACATTATTTTAGTAGTTGTACTGGTACTTGAAGGATGATGTGGTAAATATTACACTAGCCCCATTCACTACCTATTACAATTCCTGCTCCCCATTTTAGTCCAGATGGACAGGGATGTCAATGTCAGTTACAGCAAAAAAAAAATATCGCCAGGTAATGATTTTCAAATATTTCGAAGAGGGAGAGAGCAGTAGTCAGTGGAAGAGGGGAGGGGGGTAATGACTTAAATTTAAGAGAACTTAAAGAGCTTTACTCGTGATTTTCAAGTTCTCATTACCTAATTTGTTTATATTTTACTAACGCTACCTCCGCTTTTATATTTTTTACGACTTACTTTGTTATTTACAAGTACAGTTGTAGCTTTACCTCCGTCTCCTATAAAAATACAGCTTTAGCATGTGATAACCAAATAACCACTTTTGTTACTGTGCTAATAGCACCATTTAAACGACCACTAATATAAAGACACAATTATAAGGTGCGTGTTCTAAAGTTGCAAAACCAGACTATTTCTTTATAAATGTGCAGAGAATGATTGCGACATTAACTATATTAGACAGGTGCGATTTCCATTGTCTTTCTTTTCCAAAAACCTTTGATGAGGGAGAGGGTAGTAGGTGGATTTAGTTGTGGGGTGGGGGGGTGGGGGGGGTGGGGATCAAAGACTATCTCTATATCTGAGCAGACAATGATTGTATTAGACACGTGCGATTTCTATTTTCTTTCATTTCCATTTAGCCAAACTATGCCACAGCAACGCATATACATGTTCACATTTTACTGTATTCAC